CTTGAATTATGACAAATTGTGTTATGTTCTATTAGAAATTGTTTGCGCAATTACTGAGACATGGAATCATTTTATAGAACACAAAATTATGTCTATAGTTGGCGGTGATGCTTGATATCTTTGAAAATGGTAGTAAAAATGATCTTATGTAAGATTATATTTGCATAAGAATATGACAAAATGTGATTTTGTCCAAATGTGAATAAGGTAAACATGTATCTTATTATCCAATATGACATAATGCTATCTTGTGAAAGTGATAAGTTGTAAAAAGATTGGAGAAGTTGCAATTTTTGTGAATTAAGAAAAAAAATTTCTTTTTTATTCATTGAATATGACTTCAATTATGGAACCAATTGATTTGGTTTAAACTTGGAAAAGCATTGTTGGTCTATGAGATAACCTTGGTAAAATTGTGTGATCACAATTAAGATGGTCGATTTGAAGTAAGTTGTGACTTAACAACTACTATCTAAAAAAATACTTAAACTTCCATAGATGATAAATGAATCGAACTGTGAAAGAGTTGATGAAATCTAAGTTCAATTACAATCCCAAATGTGGGGGTTAGCATAATGAGGAACTCTAAGTTCGAGTATAACTTGAAATGTGGAGGTTAACTTTAAATGCTTGTGAACCTATATGAGAAGTTCAATATTTATGAATGCAATATTACATGATTGCATATAAATTCCTAAGTGAGGAATTGTGGGGGTAACTTAATTTAAAAGTTACCATATCATTTACATATTAATCATAGAAAGATATCTATGAAGGAAGAAAAGGTAGAAAAGTCCTTCTGATTATAATTATAAGGATGAGATACATTATCATTAAATTTAAGTGGATAATTTGGGTGAAAGCCAATCACGGCGCTTTCAAAACCAATGTGAATATTTAAGAGTATTCATAAGTTGAAGATCACTGTAATATTTCAATAATGAAATATGAATACCCAAGTATGAGATCCACAATAAAATTGATTGAGAAGTGTAATGATTGGATAAAAATGTTCAAATCATGTTTGGATATAAATAAAGCTTTAAATAAAGCAAGTGAGAAGCATATGGTTTCACAAAAAGATTTCTTGGCGGTGACAAATTGTATCTATCAAATGAATCGATCGTTGGCTAGCTATACTTTGATAAGATATTAAGTCACATAAAATGAAAAGTAAAGACATATAAGTCTTAAAGGTGACGTCACAAGGAAATTATCAAAGGTGGAATAATTTTCGAAGAGAATTTAGCGAATCCTTTAACTAGACCACTAAATAAAACTTTAGTGGCATATATTTCGAGTAGGATGGGGTTGAAACTCCTAAACTATAAAGGTCCACCAATGACGGCAACCCTATCCATCGCTTACTCAAAGGGGTAATCCATGGGTTCAAAGGGTAACAAACAAGTCATTCGATATGTGAGATGGTTTCAGCATTATTAAAATCCGCAATAACCCTATCCTAAGTAAAATAATGCTGATTGTTACTGAAATGAGGGTTGAGCATTGAAGCTCTCAATGAAGTTTAGTACTAAAATACAAGTACCTCTAAAAGTAACAAAGGTACTGGAAGAACTTTACCTAAACAAACTTCGAGGTGGTGCCGCCTCAATAGAGAGTTAGAGTTTCTCTCTTAAAAGTTTGTTGAATAGGATGAGCGCAAGGCCATATTAGCGCTAAGCGAGTTGAGGAATTTGAGAACACGTAATGCTCGTGTGTGTATTCTTACCGGTATTGTCACATGGAACAAATGGTTCAAAGTTTCACGCTACCTTTGATTTCGACTTTACTTTGTTTGAATTACACTATTGTTAGATTCAAATCGAAAGATATCTAATCCTTATGCATTAGTATTGTTTACTTTGAATATGAGAGTTTATTGAATTTTGAACAAGTGGGGGATTGATGGAAAATATTGTTCACAATCAATAAACAGTGTATAGGATGAAAACGAAATTGAAATCGAAATGAAAACGGAATTGAACACTGAGCAGGGCCAAAATTTGGCCCATGCGACCACATGGGCAAATATCCATGCGGTCGCACGGTGATGTACCGAGGCCACATGGCCTCGGACTGGATAAACCATGCGGCTGCATGGGTTAAAACCATGCGGGCGCATGGTTATAAATTAGGGACCGTTGGACAATTTTTGGTTGGAATTTTGGCGGCTTTTCATTTCGTTTTGGCACCTTTTCGTGTAGCAATGTTTCATGTCTATAAATAAGTGATTAATGGACATTGAAAAATAATCACAAGTATGTGAAAAAACATATAAACAAATCCACATGAAAGAATTAAACTTTCTTCCCTCCATATTCATGTTTTTCAAGTGTTCTTCAAGATTCGGGTGGAAAAATCATTTGTGCTTTTGTGATTTTCTACAACAAGGCTTGATCAATCCTACGAACTATTTGCCATAAAACCTTTTAAGCACCAAATTTGTATACGAGAAGGGCAAATATCGTTTGAGGACAACGAATCATTTTCGTGTTTGAGCCTTCCATATTGGTTTGTTTTCCTTGTTAATTTACATCTTCTTGAATTTCTATTTCTTAATTTTCATCTCCATTTTCCCCGATGGCATAAATTTCCAACATCAGTTTGGCGAGGATGCGAGATGACCAGCTCACAAGGCATAAGAGATACCTTTGGCCATCACTACCAACGCGACCTCCGCTTGTGCTTCCATCACTAGTTCGTGTGACTTCCAGCACACCAGCTGGTCCAGTTCGAAGGCTTACATGGGACGAGATGCAGTAACTCAGAGCACAAGATTATGTTTTCATTGCAATGATAAGTTCACAATAGGGCATCGATGTCAAAGACCTCAACTATTGATGATAAAAGGTTTTGATGATGCCAGAAAAGTGTTATATGAAGAGGTTATTGAACTGCAACAGCAAGAAGACACCAATGGAGGGTTTTTCACAAATGAACCGGAACCAGAAATAACACTCCATGCGTTAACTGGATGGGCAGCGCCTAGGACCATGAGAATGACAGCCAAAATGGGTCCTTATGAAGTTGCAGTGTTGATCGACAGTGGATCAACGCACAACTTTATTAGTGATCAATTAGCTAGCATGTTGAAATTACCCATGGTAACCACCGAAGCTTTTACTGTTCGGGTGGCCAATGGAGAAAGACTACAGTGTCAAGGACACTATGACAAAGTCCTGAAGGAGCTGCAAGGCACGAAATTTTATCTGACCCTTTTTTCGCTACCTCTATCGGGTCTTGATCTTGTCTTGGGGATTCAATGGCTGGAAAATCGGGTATGCCGGCTACTGGGAATGGGTGTGCAAGACATACAGGAGGCTTCATTAAAAGAAATCTCAAAAGAATTTCGTCGGGGCCATACAGTCGTTACGGTGTGCTTCCAACTTGAATCAAAACCTACCTCACCAAACATGACACCTAAGGAAATGGAGCCTAGTTTGCAAACTATGCTGGAAGAATATAAAGGTGTGTTCAAGGAACCCTCTAGCTTGCCACCTCCACGTGAGGTTGATCATTGCATTCAACTTAAGGAGGATACTGAAGCCATCAATGTGAGGCCGTACAAATATGCCCATTTCCAGAAGGCAGAGATCAAGAAACAAGTCCATGAGATGCTACAATCTGGGCTCATTCGCCCTAGGACAAGCCCATTTTCTTCACTAGTACCACTAGTAAAGAAGAAGGATGGAAACTGGTGATTTTGCACGGACTATCGCGCACTTAATGCAGCTACTATTAAGGACCGCTTTCAAATTCCAACAGTAGATGACATGCTGGACGAGCTCTATGGAACTTCCTACTTTACCAAACTTGATTTACGAGCCGGGTACCACCAAGTAAGAGTTAGCCCTTCTGATATCCCAAAAATTGCATTCCGCACTCATAATGGGCACTACGAATACTTGTTAATACCATTTAGTCTTTGTAATGCGCCTTCTACATTTCAGGCTGTTATGAACTCTATATTTTGCCCACATCTTAGAAAATTTATTTTGGTTTTCTTTGATGATATATTAGTTTATAGTTCCACTTGGGATGAGCACTTATTACATGTGAGATAGACTTTGGAGATATTAAGACGACACCAGTTTTTTGTTAAGGCAAGCAAATGTGCCTTTGGATAATAAGAATTAGAGTACTTGGGGCACATTTTTACCAATCAAGGGGTTAAGGTGGATGGTAACAAAATTACGTCCATGGTAGCATGGTCTCAGCCTACTAACATTTCTGAGCTACGTGGATTTTTATGTCTGATAGGTTACTACCGAAAATTTGTTAAAAACTATGGCATAATAGCTCGACCACTCACCAATTTTCTCAAGAAGGGTCAATTTGGATGGAATGATGAAGCGGAGGCTGCCTTCCATACCCTCAAGCAAGCCATGACGACTACTCTCATTTTGGCGATGCCAAATTTCAATGACTCCTTCACCATTGAAACAGATGCCTCCGCAGAGAGAATTGGAGCCGTGTTGACCCAACAAGGCAAGCCCATGGCCTTTATGAGTTGAGCCTTGGGGTTGTCCAAGAAATCTTGGTCCACATATGCAAGGGAAATGTTGGCCATTGTAGAAGCCATACACCTCTGGCGACCATATTTGTTGGGCAAGAAATTTTTTATCTAGACGGACCAATGAAGCCTTAAGTACTTTTTGGATCAACGAATTGCCACGCCGAAACAACATAAATGGGCAACCAAGCTCTTAGGCTATGACTATGAAATTATCTATCACCCCGAGTGTGAGAACTCTGTCGCTGATGCTTTATCACACAGGCAAGGTAGCCCTATTCTTCACCACATTTTTATGCCACAAGTTAGCTTATGGGAAGAGATCAAATAAGCCTCCAAGGAAGATTTTTATGTTCAGTCTATGGGGCAGGTGGCAGAGATAAATTTTGAGGGGCCTTATCAATGGTGCAATGGGTTGCTACTTTATAAAGGTCGAGTGGTCATTCCTGACAATCCATTGTTACGAGCAAAATTATTGTATGAAATGCATGATACTAAAATTGGTGGCCATTCGGGGTTCTTAAGGACATTAAAAAAATTGGGACAGCAATTTTATTGGCCATCCATGCACAAATCGATCCAAGAATATGTAAAGAGATGCGAAGTTTGTCAAAAGGCTAAGACGGAAACTTTAGCTCCAGCAGGACTTCTCCAACCATTGCCGATCCCTTGCCAGGTGTGGGATGACATCACATTAGACTTCATTGAAGGACTACCAACTTCGCAAAATAAGGATACCATCTTAGTGGTTGTGGACCGAATAAGTAAGTATGCCTTTTTTTTGACTTTATCCCACCCCTTTACTGCAAAAGGCGTGGCAGAAAAATTTGTGGTACGAATAATCAAGCTCCATGTATGCCCAAGATCATTGTTAGTGATCGCGACCCCATTTTCATTAGCAACTTTTGGCAAGAATTCTTTAAAATGTCTAGGACTAAGCTCCACCTCAGTTCGGCATACCACCCGTAGACAGACGGGCAAACGAAAGTCTTTAACCGATGCATTGAACAATATCATCGGTGTTTTGTTAATCAATGGCCACGCAAATCGCAACTACTTACCTTGGGCATAATATTGGTATAATACAACATACCATGTTTCCACTGGTATGACTCCCTTCAAGGCTCTTTATGGGCGATTACCTCCTTCTATTCCATCATACAAGGATGGTTTCTCTCCAGTACATGAGGTTGACCAAACTTTATTAAGTCGTGATGAGTTGTTGCAACATCTCAAGAATAATCTAGAAAAATCAATCAATCGAATGAAGCAGCTGGCTGACCAGAAAAGGAGAGATGTTTCCTTCAATGTAGGTGATCTCGTACTTCTAAAATTGCAACCATATCGCTAGCAAACAGCTTTCAAACGAGCCCATCAGAAATTATCTAATTGTTTCTATGGGCCTTATTGCATTTTGGAAAGGCGTGGATCAGTAGCTTACAAACTTCAGCTTCCAGAGAGGGCACGTATTTACCCGATTTTTCATGTATCTCTACTTAAGAAGTATGAAGGAAAGGTGGATGAAGCACACATGGAGTTACCACCCTTCGCAAAAGAAGGGGTTGCTATTTTAGAACCTCTATCATTGTTGGACACTCATTGGATAAAGCAGGGAACTAACGTAGTAGAGGTGAGCCTGGTGCATTGGAAACATCTGCCAATAGAAGATTCTACATAGGAGCCAACCAAGATACTTCTGGAACGGTTTCCTTCCATGAATCTTGGGGACAAGATTCTACTCCATGGGGGGAGGATTGATAAACTAGGCAGGTCAGCAAGGCAGCCACAAGCGAATCCTAAATATATGGGCTAATTGCTACAAAGATTATGCAAGAAATAAAACCTCTAGCAAGTGACGTGCCAAGTCAACTAGCCGTTGGAGTGGTTTAAGGGGATCATTTCCATTTCTGTTTTTATTCCCTTCTATTGTAATTTCTTTTGGCTGAAATGCAGCTCAAGTTGTTAAAGCTTGTATTATTTGAAGCATTGATCGTGAATAAAGAGGATATCAGAATTATTCATCAAAATTGTGGTATAATTCTCACCCTAAGAGAGTTAATTTTCATATTTTATTCGTCTTTGATCGGGACCGCTATTAATAGCTAGCTAATAGAAGACTTAAGCATCCTTATGGAATAGTAGATGATATGCTCACCAAAGTTGGAGAACACTTCTTTCTAACAACTTTTCATCATCCTTAATATAAATGCTCAACACATGCCATTAATTTTGGAAAGACCATTCTTAACAACTAGAGAAACAATAGTGAATTTTGAAAGGGTTAAATAATCTTGAGGAAGGAAGAAAAATAACAAGGTTTCATCATAAATGCTACACTCAGACAACAATCTTATCTAAAGGAATGCAAAAGGATTAACCATGAAGAAAATGAGGATTGGGACAATCACAAGAAAAATATGGAAGTTGGTAGATTGGTTGGAAGGACAATAATGGAAATCCTATAATCTGGAGGCCCAAAGATGAATTAATGAACAACTACTAAAGCAGCCGATGTAAGGTTGAAAACTTTCTTTTCAAACCAATATGAATCGCCAAAACATTAAAGTCAATATAATGACTATATATAAGTGCTTATTGA